GTTGTTGTGGAGGAGGTGGGGGTGGTGGTGGTGGTGGTGGAGGTGGTGGTTGTGATGGTATTGGCGGAGGATGAGGAGGAGAAGGATGTGGTGGTGGTGGTGGTTGTGGAGGTAGTGAATGTGGTGGTGCAAGCGGTGTAGTTGAATGTGGAAGTAGAGGTGCTGTCATTTTTATAAATGAATGATGGTATTTTGGTAATTAAATTTTTTTATATTAAAGGTTCATCTCTGCCTCTTTTGAAAGCAGCTTTGAAAAGTAACCCAGAGCATGCTTTTAAAAGCTGATGTCAAAAAGCCACTGTTTTAAAATAATAGGGATATTTTATTTTTACTAAACACTTTAAACTGCTTAACTTTAAAGCGAAGCAGGTTTTTGACTAAAAAAAAGCAATCCCAAATGGGGCCTTAGTCATGTGAGCAACACATGCCACATTTGTGGGGCAAAATAAGACTTTTGACTTATATATCACCCTTTTATCACCACTGTATTACATATGTATCACACTTTATCACCATTTTATCACCTATTTGGGGAACATAGGACAGTTATGGACGGTTTTACCTTTACATTTGACAGCAACATTAACATAATGTAACGGTAGGATCAATGGAGCGATTAATATAAAGTTGATAGACCATTTGAACAAATAATTTAATTGAATGACCAAAATGTAAATTAGGTATAAGTTTGAAGACCATTTAAATAATTTATCTAACAAAATTAGAAAGGAGATAAACAACAGCAACCAAAAATGGCTTTTTGCTAAAAAAGAAAAAAGAAAAAAAAGAGAGGATATTTAAGGAGGGTAGAACAGCCAATTCTCCTAAACTAAACCCAAAAAAGAGAGCGAAAGGCCCCAAAGTGGAAGCTTTCTCCTTCTCTTTTTGCCGATTTTTCTGGTGTTAGTTTCCCGCCAAACTGTAAGTGAAGTCGACCACTTTCTGAGATTTCTGTGCGTTTCTCGCACAACATAGAGATGGGTTCTAAGAGAAAGAGGTCCAAAGAGCACTTCAGCCCCGCAATGGAAGAAACGCCAACTCCCAGTCACATTCCCCCTCTCACCTTCCAAACCCTAATCTCTGCAATTCAAGCCCCTGAGGTACTCCATCTTACTTTGCATTGTCGTTTCCTACTCTTCTTTGGAGTTTTACGGCTCACTTCTGACAAGTTCTTGAGCGTTTTGTTTGGATAGAGTGCCCAGAGTAATGGGTTGTGGGTTTAGAGACCGAATGTGAGAGAATTGAAAAAACAATTGGGAAATTAATCTAACAAGTTTGTTCCTTTTTGGTCGAAACAAGCGGCTTTGTGTTGCTTTGTTGTTGAAACTTCTTGGATATGTGCTGCTTTTGTACGGATATGAACTTATATTTACATAGATAAATGCATCAATTCATTCTTAATGTGTTAAATTTCAGGGGCCAAAGCTGCCGCTTTTGAAAAGATTGTACTTCCTACTAGTTACACTGTCTTTAAACGAACCAATGCGATGTTCTAATTTTGAAGGCGCTTTCGATCATTGTGGGGTTGAAGGGAAACTTGAGGATATACATAACTTGATTAATGTTTTGTTTGAAGAGCTTGATAGGAGGTTTAAACTCTTCGTCTCCGCTTTATGTGATGTTTTTGCAAGTAGAGGTCAGGAGCACATAGAATCCGACACAGATATGTTTGCCACTGCTGATGAACTACCTCTGCTTCTAAGATGTTGTATGTTAGTCTTGGCCTTGGCTAACCCTACTATGCTAGTGGAGAAAACCCAATTTCTTCTTTCTGTACTAGGGAGCTTGATTTACTTGGTTACAAATGGAGGAGAGGAGAAAAACTCTGTCAGGTTTCAGAAGTTTGTTTCTTCTAAATTCACGTACACTGATGTTGGTGGTTCTTCTACCACTGTTTCCGAAGAGTTTGTTGCCTCTTTATGTTTCACAGAGCCTTCAGATCCGTGGTGTCCGACTCTATGTGCAGTGCTTGAGGTAAACATTCAAAAAATATCAGCCTATGTTTTTCAAGTTTTTTGTTTTTTATTTAATCTTTTTGTGCGGTGGAAATGTTAGCTATGCTTTCACCCATACAGTGGTTTACTTGCTCATAAAATTAGAATTATAAATACGACGTGGTTGAGTTTCCATTTTCATATGACTATGTCGCATACTTACTGGTCTTAAAAGTATACACAGTAACACATTTGAACTTGTTTGTGATATATGGATTTCTCTGTATCTTGACCTTTCTATTTTGTCTTACTATGATGACATTGGTTGCTACTAATTAGAAAAGTACAATATACAGTTTATCATTGATATAATTTACAAGATAAGGATATGAATAAATAGACATGCTTTGAGGACATTTTTGCACTGGTCAGCCGTATATATTCCTTTTGCAGTTGGAGAAGAAAATCACTTCAAAGATCCTATTCCCATTAAGTGTTTTGTCAGAATGTCAAGTTCACTCTCCGATGTGCTCGCATAAAATATGTCAAAACGAAATATGCAAAACAAAAAATATTGAGAAACTAAATCTTTATCGTACGTTTAATGACCTGGTAGGAAAGTTCAGGGCTTGCACAGTTGTATAATTTCACTTTGTTGTATGAGGTCTGTCCATGTTTCAAACTTTGGTGAAATTGCTTTTCTACCTATTTTCAAATTGACATTGACCTCCCAGTTTGCAAATTTTCTTGATAACCTCCAGTTAGTGGTTCATTGTCAAATGGATGTTAACTATTTTTTGGGTGGCATTCTGTTGACATAATATAGTATATTGCTTCATTATTATCCGGATCAAATCTTTTCTTGGCTAGATTTTCTGTTGCGCAATGATCTTATACATTGTAGTTTCGTCAAATAATTATTTGAACTAAACTTGATCTGTTTCAAATTTTGGTTTCATTCCTCCATCTGAAGTTCTCACGCCATTCTCCAATGTTTAATTACTTTTGTATGAGTTATTGCACCTATACACAACTGAAGTTTGATAGATTGTCTTTAGATATTTGCAGATGAACTTGTAATGCGTAGATTGCTGAGAGAGTACTTTAGTCTTGTTGATTCTACTTCTTCCACAACTGAAATTCTATTTCAGTGCCACTTTGTTAAAGGTGATATTGGAAGTGTTCTGGAGGTGATTTCTGTTCATTTCATCTCGTCAGTTTATGGCAAGCGAGCAAATGAGAACTTCCTTAAAAGATTGTTCTGTGACTTCGGACAGCATTGTAGAGTTCCTGAACTGAGCCTGACTTCTGCGGTGTCATTGCTTCAAAACCCCATCATGCTTTCAGCACCAAAAATGCTGCAGACACATATGAATTTATTGGTTTCTGAAGCCATTGATGTAGACATGTCTTTGAAGAATGCTAGACCAGATCTTAGACTGATGGAAGGCTACCTAACAGCATTTGAAAGGTCTGTCCATTTGTACACCAGCCACATGTCTGGTTTACTTATGGATTTCCATCCCTTGGGTGTTAAATGTTCTTATGACAGTTCATGCATGCTAGGGAGAAGTTCTCAACCTTCCTTTGAATCTTATCTTCAACAAGTCACGAGAGATAAAATTTATGATCTAGTTACCAATTCAGATTCTTTATGGGACTTGTATTTGTGCAATATGTTCCATAGAACAAAATCTGACCTGATGGCTGCTTCTATTGCATACGTAAATGAGAGCCAACATATTTTTGATGAATCATGTAGAGATGATATATTGTCAGTCTTACGTAGCATAATACTTTTAAGTTTTTCTTGTGATGTAAGTGGTACAGTGTTGTATAGAAAAGGGGTTACAAGTCCCCAAGATATTTATCTTCTTGCTTCCATATTGAAGTTAATGAGTACTTCCTTGTTGAAAGCTATTTGTTCCCTAAGGCATGGTGGGGATTTGGGTTCTCCAAGAACCTTAAAAGATGTTTCTTCTAAGGAATATGATTTTGTAGTGGATATCATTGGCTGTTTTCACCAGTTCAACATGTCTCTACCAAATCAAAAGTTCTTATTCGACATGATGAAAACCTGCCCGTTGATACATAAGACTTCCGAGTGGATGCTTCTGCATTTTTCAGGCTTGCTGTCCTTGTGTTTTGCTAGTGGGATTGATTTCTTAGTTAAGGGCTGCATATCAACAATCATGGCACTATTACATCTATATGTTTTTGAAGAGAGTGATTTAGTGGCACTCAGCTCATTGCTAGTTTCTGGTTCACAAACTTTTTCATCTGGATTGTCCTCTGACAAGGTTACTGAGGTGAGCTTTGCTTTTCTATATGACTTTTTTGAGTTCAATTCGTATGTTCATGTTTCATTCTTCAAACTTTTGTAAAACAAAAAAGGAAAAAAATGTTTAATTCTTTGAACTGGATGTTATAGATTTGAAACAAGTGACATATGATGCAGGCCGTGGTGAAAAAGAAATCTGTCAGAAGAGTTGCAATGAAATTTCAGAAAATTCAAACACTTCACTTGAGGTACAAAATACTATTGTGTACTGTGTCTGCTGTTCATAGTTCTCTTGCCTACCATGCATTTCTTTCTTGGGAGCTTCTCTTGCGGGGTCATATTTGTCTAGCTGTAAGAAGTGCATAAGGTTACTCAGGCCTGATTTGGCAATTTTTGTGTAGTGAAGCTTCCAGATCTGCCTTTTTTTTTTCTTTTTTTTTTTTGTTTGGAGGTTGCTTCAAGCCATCATCCATATGCAAAGTCTTGTTCATCATTTGTTCTCCAAATGCATCAGATGTGTCTCATTTGGCATTGAATCTGTTGAATGCATATAATGACGCCAAAAGAAATTTCTTCTGAGATTGTTATTTAGGACAAAGAGTAGGTTGTTAGAAATTCAAGGAGGTGGCATCTGAGTTGACTCTAAATATGCTTGTTTCTTCTCGTATTAAACCATAAAAAATATAAAGAGATTGTAATGTAATTGTGATTAGATTTCAGTAGCGGCTAGTTGTCATTAGAAACTTACACTATCAGTCTTCTCAGTGTTGTGGTTTCTGACATGTACTGAGCCATGATATTGGTAGTCCTTGGAGCGTAAGAAATTTCATGCTGTAGTTCTCCCCGCAAAAGAAAAATCGCTGCACCTAATCATGGAGCGCTCTGGTTCGAGAAAGAAGAAAAGGAGGATTCTATAGTTCTAGCTTGAATAAATAACTTGTTATGATCACTTGAATAAATTCAATTAATCATTCTTGTTTGATGTTGGTTATCTCTTCCTTTGGAACTGGTAGGGCTTGGTTTCTTGAAAGTGAGGATGTCTTTGATATAAGTATTTATTAGAGTCCAATAACAATTGGAAACGGACATTACTCTTACGTGATGGTACATGCTGCCATCAAAGCTAAATCAGTTTTTCGCCTTGTTATTTTTCAGCAAAGAATCTCAAAGTGAGGTAGCAGAAACTTCAGAAAATGCATGTTTCATGAGGTGTACAAGGGAGTCTATGAATGTCATGGAGGAGGAAACAGAGGAGACCTGCAATGGGGAGGTTTTTCTCAATTGCATACTAGGAAGCTCCCAGAAATCTGACATAGATGATTTAGCAGACTTCATTGTGTGCAAACGAGCGAAGGATTATTCTAGCTGGTGGAAGGATCGAGAAAGGTATCGAGGGATGAAAATTCAAAGAAAGAAACAACTAAGGTGGGAGAAAAGGAAAAATGCTTGGAAATCTATGGTAGGAAAGAAACATAGGTAGTGTTTTTAGCTGCTGCTAATGCAACCTTGATTAAAAAATGCTTCTAGCTAGGTGGCTTAGATAAATTACAATTCTGAGTATAGCAACAGTTTTTAATGTGTATAAAAGTAATATGACGAATGTGAAAATTGGCTATGGGATGAAGATTCTAGAAGTGTAAATTCGTTTCATCTGAGGCATACTGGATTTGTTATTTTGATGTTAAATTATTGTCTACAACTTGGGCGCATAACATAAGGTACGATCACCACATTGCAACAATTTCAAAAAGTGTGGGTGCTTAAATGTTAAAATTGAAAACATGGGTACTAACATGTTTTGTTGGTGAAAGGTTAGAGTATTAAATTGAAATTAATCTCATGTTAGTGAAAGGTTAGAGTACTAAATTGAAGTTAACCCTTGAAAATAAAGACTACTTATGCAACAAAGAAGTGAAAAATCGAAGAAAAAATCAATTTATCTTCAATAATTTAAATGATTTTGTAAAAGATTAGAAGAAACATTATTGCTATGGTTCAAAAAGCATTAACGAAATAATTTTTCTTATTTTTGCTACATATACCTCTTATGCTAATCTTTTCAACATTCATTTTCTCTCATTTCCCTATGTTCTTCCATAAGTCGTAAGAAAAAAGGATTCCTTTCCAATTCAAATCTATTAAACAACCGAAAAACATACAGAGGGATGGTTGAAATATAAAGAATCTCTTCCGAAAATAGAAGGAATAATGAAGAAAAACCATCAGTACAATATAACCATTTTTTAAAAATGTTTTAAGTGAAGTTAGGACCTCTTCCAAGTCTCTAACATTGGGAGAAGACGACTAGACCAATAACTAGTTGATTATTAATATTTTTAAAGTATCATTGAAGTGAAACTTACAAATTCATGAAGGTCACCCAAGTGAACAGAACAAGCATTGTAGCAAACCCCCCTCCTAGTTAGACCCCAATCGACAAACAATTCCCTGCTTAGTTACAAGTCCATGCTAGTAGATTTGACAAAACCAAAATATGATCTCATTGAGGAAGTTAGATGACTTAAATACATGCATGACTCTAAACAGAGTACAAAGAGTCTATGGATGGAGTACTTTTTCTAACATATATAGAGGACATACATGCATATTCTCATGCACCCCATTTCATCCCAATCCTCCAATAAAGTGCCTGAGATTGTAATCTGAAGAGCCACCCTCCTTGACAGCTTCTGTGGCCAAACCTTTCCATTTTTCACAATTCCTTCTTATCTCTTCCCCTCTCTCTCCATCTCCCATCACAATCTCCAGGCACCTCTTAATCTCTGCACCTCCAATCACTCCCTCTTCATTCTCTTTGGCTCTAACTCCAACTCCCCACACTTCCTCCACTAGTTTTGCATTTGTGTTCTGGTCTGAAAATTGAGCAAAACCCACCATTGGAACCCCAGCTACCAAGCTCTCCACAGTTGAATTCCACCCACAATGCATCACAAAACACCCCACTGACTTGTGCCCTAAAACCTCCATTTGTGAACACCATGGCACCACTAAACCCTGTTCTTTGATTTTCAGTCTGTTCTTTATCTTCATTATCTGAGCTTCTTGATCTCCTCCCTTCTCTACACAGCGAATAACCCATAAAACTGGGAGGCCACTCTCAATTAGTCCATTCAACATCTCTTCAATCTGATCTTTCTTTAACACCACCATGCTCCCAAATGACACATAAACAACGGAGCAATCTGGTTTTGAGTCCAGCCATTGAAGGTAATCATCCTCAGATTTGTCAAACAAGTCGCAACGAAACCCGGCATCACTGGATTGGTTTTCACTTTCCTCCCAAAACCCAGTTATAACCAAGGGTCCAATTGGAATCACATTCATGCTTGATGATCTGAGAGCTTTGATTGCTGCCTCTTCTAAGGCATCAAAAGTGTTGAGTAGCACAAGACTGGAGTTGGGTTTGCCCTGTTCCAAGACTTGGATGTGTTCTTGAAAGGTAGGGATGACTGAAACATGTGGACTGGTTGGTAGGAGAAAGGAAGGTAGCTCTGTGGGAGCAAAAGGAGGCAACCCTTCTATTGTCATAGAATTTGGAAATGGAGGGCAGTTGTGAAAGTGGTTGAAGTAATGGTGGCAAAGCGCAAAGGAGGTGGTGGATTGTATGCAGAAAAAAGCAGATGGTATGCCACAATCACTTGCAACTTCAGCAGCCCAAGGGAGGAGGACAGAGTAGATGAGAAAAGTGACAGGGCCTGAGTGATCTTGAGATGTAGAGATTTTCTCAATCAAGGCTTTGAGTGTTTTTGATCCCACAAGCTTAAATTTAGACATGATGAGATTGGGGTCATTGGTTGGTTTGATTCCATCATCAAAGCCATCTGAGAAAGAAGCATATGACAAGCCTTCAAGAGAAGGGAAGGATTTGATTTGGGTGAGGCCACGGATGGTGGTGGCATAAGTGACATGTGTGCCTCCAATTCCTATGAGGCGCTTGGCAAGTTGGAGAGTAGGGTTTATGTGGCCTTGGGCAGGGCAGGATATGAGAAGGAAGTGATGATGATGATGCTTAATGTCCATGACAATTGCTCTCTTGCTTGGCTGAATCTTGATCTGGGATAATGGGATTGAAAATTTTGTTCTAAGTAATGAAGGTGGTGTTAAAGCTTCATGATTAACCGTCGTTTTGGACTTTTGAGTACTAATTAGGCAAATTCCAATCCACACTAGAGTCAAAAGTCATGAAGTGCCACTAGATCAACTAGTCATGAGCGCCGTTGGATTGATACAAAATCTCTTTCTGGAAACTTGATAATTATTGTCTAGATTAATGTAAACCACATTTCCAGTAGATTTATATAAACGAAGGTATATAAAAATTATATTAGATCATCGTGATTAAACAGAGCGCTAGTTTCCCTTGAACATACAGGAGTTCGTTTTACAGTTTTAGCAACTGGGGTATTGACTCTGTTAGCCCTCAATGATTTGATGCTGATCTTCGAGTAGATATTTGAATCCTAGAAGAAAATTTGCTCATTATTTGCCACAAACTTACAAAGACGACAGCCACTGGAGCAACTTCATGATACAATGGCACAAGGAAAGAGCTTTCTGCTTCAGGATGGTGCACTGAAAACGAAACTGAGGATGGTGCATTCAAATTCTATAAACTTCAACATGCACCATCCTCTGTTTCGTTTTCAGTATTTTCCTAGAATTTGAATGGCATCAAGCTAAATTCGTGTGTGCAGCAACCTATCAAATTGAATTTGAAATTTTTTGAACCCTACAATGCAAATTGCATCTATTGAAACCTAATATGTAACATTTCCCACATGCCAGTTCAATTCAATTTTCTAATTCAAGGTTATGACGGTGGGTTACAATCTTACAGAAAGATAACATCCCATTCTATACAGCAAAAGAAGTATCAGTCTGGCTCAGGGAAACGTCATGGCCGCCTCTATACAATATGCTCAACACTAAGCCGATCTGTTTGGTTGAGAAGCAGTTCAGAATATGGCCTACTGTGCATATGAACAGACCAAGATGAGTTGGAGAACAAATCAACTAGCACCTAGCCTTCTTACAACTGTTAAGTACTCTGTGCAGATGGAAAGCTTCACCTTGATCCCCACTCAACAACCTTCTTTCCAAACAGCAAGCAGTGAGTTGCCTGAGTAACCTCTCAAGATATGAATGCAAGCAACTTTGTGAATCTTTCAGGTTTGGATTTGTAGACAAGATCATTGCATTAACTGTGTCTGCCACAACTTCACGCTGCGACTCTTCAAGCAGATATCCAACTGGGGACTCTTGCGGCTGTTCGTATGCCAGCAGAGCAACACAATCCTACAGAGAGAGGTGTTGTAACGATGATGACAAGCTTAAGCTTCAATGAAAAAAATAGAAGCATTCTAGTTCTAATCCACGTCTTGCAAAAGAAGCACCAAAGAAACATGTAGCAACTCAAACCCAATACTACAAGCAGACTAAAAAACATCATCCATATGAAATGTAACTGTTACTTAAACACCCATCCACAAACCATCACCTAAATTCTGAAGATGCCAACAAAAAAAAGGATGCCCAAATACTAACTCACATGGCTTTTTAATAATAATGAATCTCACATATTATCCAAAGACAGATGCATCGATAAAATAAATATTCCATAGTTCGAAAGAAATTCTGTTATTACCTGAACTAGGTCCTCAAACACCGGCAGGCCAAAGAACTTTGCTAATTCCATTCTTCCATATTTCACAGCCTCCTCAAGTGCTCCGACCTACATGAAAATTTTAAGTATCACAAACCATCTGTAAATATCTATTAACTTTGTCATTAACATCACCAAAGTTAGCAATCATATGCTCTATAAATAAACAAAGACATGCATATAATAAGCCAGACCTAAAAGATGTCAAGGGGATAAAGTAGGCAGCAGCTTGTTATTCGCGAACACTAAATCTAATGTGCCAGTTTGTTAACACTTGAAAGTTGTAGATCTAACTATTTGAAATGAAATTAAGCACACTTCAACCCAAGTTCATAATCATCAGTTTATAGTTTCCTTCAACGCTTCAGCACTGAGATGTAACAGGTACGCAAGCCTTTCTTGTATCCATCTAAAATTTCATTCAAATGAATAACTGAAGTGCTTGCCATGACTTTTTTGGAAATATTAAATTTTTTTAGCAGCAGCAATACTAAAGCTAATTCTTCTAATAGAGGAAAAACATACCCGGACCAATTCGATAAACTTTTGACAGTGGAGTAGAAAGCAAGTAGCTGATTTATCATCCTGCAGAAGGTAAAACATATGTCAGAACCTTAATAAAATTAAGCATTGATCCTAAGAAGTTTAGGATGATCAACTTTACCAATAACCAAAATTCAAAACCACCACATTAAAACATATGTGAGGACCTTAATACAATTTCTGTTTGAATCCTCTCAAGCACAAACTTTGCAGAATTCACAGCATGTACCAAAAAATCTTGTCAACGTCAAGAGCAAAGAAATACAGAAAAACAAAGATGACCACAAAAGAAAACATTCTGAAGCATTAGACAGTCTACCTGAACAACTTGGGGATACCATTCCCGGAGTTTACCTAGTGCAGAGTCGATCTCCCCATTCCTGATAAGCTTCATTAGCAGAGAAAAGTGGTCAGCCAGATACAAATCTTATACTAGAAAAAATTAATATATTTTGGTTATATAGTAACCAATGAAGTGGTACACAAGCAATGGAAAGGACATACAAAAATATCCATTTATCAAATGGTACACAAACTGATTCTATGATATTCCCCAAAATCCTAAGCCATGAGGAGATAGTGTACCATTTGACAGTTGAACACTCCCTAAGCCGTGAACAGATTAACTAAATTACATAAATAAACCAAGCCATGAGCAGGTAAACATATCTTCAAATTGAATGACAAAAAATGGATGCTTTCATAGGCTGATTTCAGGCGAACTAGACTAAAACATTCACATGTTGCACAAAACTATTGTCAACAGAAATTAGACGTGAAAATGTGAGATAAAATGCATATATCATCCATATCATTATTATTGGTGTCACTGTAAATATATCAATAATAAGAAATAAATCTTTTACAACCCAGCAATTTGATGGATCTTGCAGCCATTGCTAAGATCTGATTCTACAGAAAAACTTCATATAGATATCAGCCAAGCAGGCATAAATCTTTGCTCATGTCATCAAGTTCTGTGGTTGAACATCGTACTAAATACTACAGTCTCCAGATTATAGCAGCAACATTTTTTTTTTCTGGTTTCTTGAAACCTTTGAGTCAAAAGCCCAAAAAAAAATTATATATATCATCCCAAACAACTGGGATTTGGAAACTTTCATGCAAATATAAGAGGATCCCAAAAAGGGGATGGTTCAAAACACAAAAAGGAAGCAGAAAACTAACTTAACTTTAAAGACAGATTGTAATCACAATAGAATGATACCTGTCTAAGAGTCTTTCTTTCATTTAGTGCAAACACAACGTCCTGCTCATCAAAACCATTTTCTTGAGCTATATGTACAGGAGGAACAGTAGTTTTACTAGCCATGTCAAATGAATTGAGCGTATCTTCATAGCCATAATGTAGTAAGTAGGAGCGAACAATTCTGGTTAACAAAGTATAAATGAATTAACAATTGACACATAAAAGCTTTAATAATAAACAAAATTAAACCCAGGAAAAATTCATATTGATATGTTGCTAGAAATAACAAAATTCAACCCAGGTAAAATTGACATCCTCTCTCTCTCTCAAACAAAACTTACCAGGAATTCAACTGGACTATTGATCAAAATTTATTACTTTAAGGAGCCTATTCTAGTTTTCATCCTAGTGAGTCTATTGAAACAAAGGGTTCAAATTCCAAAGCTTGTAAGATTTTTTTTTCCTTTTTTCTTGATGGGAAGAGTCTGCTACAATGACAGGAAGGAAAACTTGGGAAGACCCCGGCTCACCTGCCGGCCCCCCGTTTTCCCTCTTTTGTTTCAAATTTTCAAGGCTATCAATGCAACTTTTATGCATCTCAACAACCCCCAAACGTAGCCAGTTCCTACCTCTAACACCCTGAATTTGTCAAAATTCCTACTTGAACCCTGGTTGACAATTCAGTGTCAATATTCATGTGAGTACATAATTCGGACAAGGTTATATAATTTACTAACAAAACTCCAGATTTAAAGAACATTCAAAATTCAAGAAGGAGAGTGATGACCTAACTGAAAATATATTGAAAAGATTTGGCTGCGTTAATCCAACTACAACTATCACTGAACTGCATCTAATTCCTCAACCTATAAAATTCCTATAACCAGATTAACAAGTTATATAAAAGATAACCACAGAAACACAAACTTTAATTACTAAAACCAATCACAGAGCGTCTGTTTAACCATCAACATCAGATCATTTCTCCTTAACGTATATGCCTAAGCCAAAATACATTAGATGCCTTTCTTCAAGATATATAAAAATGTGAACTTACCCATGACTAACAGTTGGCAATGAAAATTTTTCAATCATCCTTTGTTGCTTCATCCTCTCTTGCGCTTCAAATTCCTAATCAGATGTTGCGAAAATTAGTTTCGACAAGAAGACATGATATTCAAAACATATAGCAAGTTTTATAACTTCAATCTAATAAATCTTTTCAAGTCTAACCTGCACAATCCTTTATGAAATAGGACTTCATGAAAAGTATAGTA